TAAACACTGCATTTTCTCTGAAAAGGCAGTGTTTGCATGAAAATGCCTGATGGCAATGATGGCAATGATTACTCACCAGAACAACTATATTAAAGGGACACTATAGTCACATGACCAAAAAACTATCAGTGTTAATGTGTTCACTTTTATATACTGAGTCAGGAAGCACAGAGTGCCATTGGGTAGGAGTGTCGCTGATTGGTCAGCTGGCAGTCATAGGCAATCACTATATCCCCATTCATAAAAAAGTAATACATTTTTATGAACCGGGAACTAGCAATTGGCTTAGAGCATTAGCTGAACACTCAGCCAATCAGCGGCACCCAATCTGCACTTCCTGACCCTCCGTTTCAGAAGCTGAATACCACTGAGCGACCTGGAGATCTGGAGCTAGAGAAAACCTTTGGGGTTAAACCATGTGAGAGCGGTTTAACCCATTAAAGGAAAGAGAGCACCCAAGGGAATGCTGCAGCTCTCCATATACTGAGCACTGAACTCTGCAGCTCTCCATAGACTGAACAATGAACCCTGCCGCTCTCCATAGACTGAACATTGAACCCTGCAGCTCTCCATAGACTGAGCACTAAACCCTGCAGCCCTCCATAGACTGAGTACTGAACCCTGCAGCCCTCCATAGACTGAATACTGAACCCTGCAGCTCTCCATAGACTGAATACTGAACCCTGCAGCTCTCCATAGACTGAGCACTAAACCCTGCAGCCCTCCATAGACTGAGTACTGAACCCTGCAGCCCTCCATAGACTGAATACTGAACCCTGCAGCTCTCCATAGACTGAATACTGAACCCTGCAGCTCTCCATAGACTGAGCACTAAACCCTGCAGCCCTCCATAGACTGAGTACTGAACCCTGCAGCTCTCCATAGACTGAATACTGAACCCTGCAGCTCTCCATAGACTGAATACTGAACCCTGCAGCCCTCCATAGACTGAACACTGAACCCCGCAGCTCTCCATAGACTGAACTCTGCAGCTCTCCATAGACTGAGCACTGAACCCTGCAGCTCTCCATAGACTGAACACTGAACCCTGCAGCTCTCCATAGACTGAATACTGAACCCTGCAGCTCTCCATAGACTGAACACTGAACCCTGCAGCTCTCCATAGACTGAATACTGAACCCTGCAGCCCTCCATAGACTGAACACTGAACCCCGCAGCTCTCCATAGACTGAACTCTGCAGCTCTCCATAGACTGAGCACTGAACCCTGCAGCTCTCCATAGACTGAATACTGAACCCTGCAGCTCTCCATAGACTGAATACTGAATGGCTTGGGATCAAACCCATCGATTCTATCATTAGTTCTTCCAGCTAACAGTCTATGTAACAGTTAATGAATAAATCCCAGATAGGAAAAGCTAGAATTATAACATGAAATGGGTGTCAACCCTTCCAGCAGTTTTGGGAGTTTTGGGGTGGATGCGTCAATGACCCAGTTTCTTTTCTCCTATTTCAGGGTGAAACCCGCTGTCTTTGATTTATTTGTAGCTGTCATTGTTGCCGTATACCTGTGTGTGATCCATCACTCCATCCAGGTAAGGACTGACCGCAGTGTTAATAACTAGAATAAACCTTTTTCTGTGCTGGCTCCTTAGGGTGGCTTGATATTTCCTTCCAAAGTAACACACAACGTTCCCAGAATAAAGCTGATATTTCATGCGCGGTAGATGTACTGTACGTCATCTTTTTAAATCCTGGTTAAAACGGTAACCCAAGAATTTCTCAAACACAACATTGGAGTTTGGAATATGTTACTAGGAAGCACAAGGCTTTACCCTAGAATTTAAACGTTTTCCAGTAAATCAAAAAGGTACTTTGAAGCTGTAACCAAACTGGGAAATATATGCTTATGACCACATTCACATCTTCCGACAAGGCAAATGGACAAAAAGAAGGACAGTTTAATTTTAGGGGTGGAGTCAGGGGAGGGGCTGTTCTGAGTGTGAGTGGGGTGTTGTCAGGGGAGGGGCTGTTCTGAGTGTGAGTGGGGTGTGACCAGGGGCAGTGGTGTTCTGAGTGTGAGTGGGGTGTTGTCAGGGGAGGGGCTGTTCTGCGTGTGAGTGGGGTGTGACCAGGGGCAGTGGTGTTCTGAGTGATAGTGGGGTGTTGTCAGAGCAAGGGCTGTTCTGGGTGTGAGTGGGGTGTGGCCAGGAGTGGGACTGTTCAGACAAATTTTAGGTGACTTACTGATAACACTTTATAGACCTAAAATGTAATTTAGAAGAACAATGTATCTTATTTCGACAGGCTGATTTCGAAACACATTTGTTGTAGTTTAAAGACACATTACTGGGAGAATTATTACTGTGGAGCTCTGTTATACACTCATTTTGTTATACACTTTATTTTATATATATATATATTTATTTATTTTTTTAGAATTTTGGTCGCTTGTACTACTGGATTGTGAGACTGATTGGAAAGCAGAAGAAAAAATGAATGGTGCGATCATCAATACAAAATAAGGGAATCTGCAGAAAAACAAAAAGATTTCTATTTCTATTTTAATAAACCAAGCAGCCACACAGAAACCTGCTTATTTACGGTCACGTTCTGTGATTGACCTGTCTGCACATAAAGCAGATATTAATATTACTGGATCTCACAGTCACCATAGTAAGAGCCACTTCCTCCACCACTGAGAGCACATTCAGTCACTGTCGGAGCTGGTCTGCCCACTGGTGATAATTACTGATTACTTGGGGGGGTTGAGAGGACACATGGCAGCCCCTGTCTTCGTCTCTCTCAGAGAGCGATGTGAAACAGAAGGAATCTTATAGCCAAGGACTCCAATTATTTAACGCACAGTAATGTTTTATTGAAAATCATCAGAATATCCACAACACCTGTAAACCCTGAGAAACTCCAGATATATTATCTTACAGGGCAATAAAACCTTTTATAGCAGATCTTTTCTCCTCATAGAATGGAAACCTTATTATTTTCTGGATTTATGAGTTTATATCCAGCGCACATTAAAAACGGTGGTGGGAGCACAAAGACGGATATCCTGAGTTCCAGTATCGGCAGCGATAACTAAAAATGGATCGGAATTTTTTCGAAGCAGCAGACGTGCGCTCCAGATTCACTATCTATACTATACCATGGGGGATTCAAATAACAATTCGAACCCCTAAAGCACGCCAGTGTTACATTGGTGATGCTGTTTAGATGAGGTGGCCAAAAGTTGTATTACAAGATAGCACCAACTCTGATCATGCTCAGCAACCATTAAGGCTGTGATAACCTATAGTTCAGTTTTCTTTTGCTGTTAAGAAATACTCATTACTCACCGAATCCAAAGTTGTCAAACAACGCCCTCGATATCATCTTTAAAAATAAAACTCTTTAAGACCAAATTAACTTAACGTATCCTAACCTCACATAAAAAGATAATGTAATTTATTAAAAAAAAAAAAAAACTAACTGCAAGTTATATTGGACTTTTATACTCCCGAGGTAGCTTGACATAAGAGTCTAATAGACTGGAAGAACAACCACAACCCTCTGACTCTGACTGTTTTATCGCACATGGCATGTTATAGAATGTGGCCCTCTGTGAGTTTGTGTCACCTGGCAGCCAGAACCCATGCTGTGTTTGATCTGTTCATCGATTGTATATCCAATGTTTGGGTGCTCAGTATCCCTTGAGAAAAAATATAAACAAGCTTTCTGCACTTTGTCAATATAAATGAGAACTTGTATACGAGTCAGACGCTTTCTCCTTTCACAGCCTCCGTTTTCAGTAAGGTTTATTTGTATATTATTTATTATAAGGTTTATTTATACCAATATTTATAATGTGAATTATATAAAACTATCACCATATGCAATCACTGGGTTATTTGATCATTTTTTCTCTCTATTCCATCAGCTGCAGTAACATCACGATGACGTAGTGTTGACATTTAGAATACCACTCCATTACCTGCGTGGAGTAATCACATTCTCACTACGGTTACAGCACATTGTTATCATTCAACCAAACTGCTACTAACTGTAAACATGAAGCCTCTCCCACCATGGAATTTTCAACCATCTAAATCACATGCAAGCTATTATTTCATAAAATGCACTGGCTGGTCACTGGATGCTGTCTGACAGGTCTTAAAGGAGCACCATAGGGTCAGGAACACAAATGTGTATTCCAGACACTATAGGGTTAAAATCACCATCTCCCCCCTGTACCCTCTGGCCAATCAGCATCTCGTTATAGAGATTAATTAAATCAATAAATCTCTATGAGGAAAGTTCAGTGTATCCATGCAGAGGGTTGAGACACTGAATGTCAGTCACATTGTGCAGCACTGTCCCAGGAAGCACCTCTAGCAGCCATCTGAGGAGTGGCCAGTGGAGTTATTACTAGGCTGTAATGTAAACACTGCATTTTCCCATGGATTTTAAGGGGCAGAAAAAGTGTTTTAAAATCCAATAAGCCCAAATAAATCTTTTAAAGGGCAATACATCCCAGGGGCCATAGTCACAGGGCAAGAGGCTGGCAAGCAGGCCTCTCCAAGTACAAGTGGCGAGGTGACTTTTGCCACAGGAGTAACTTGCAGAAGACTCCCCTGCTCTGGCCTTTATGACTGACTGGCTAGATATAAGCCTCTCCTCACTGCAAGACATATGAAATCCCACTTGGAATTTGCACAACCAGCACCTAAAGGACTTTCAGACTGTGAGAAATAAGATTCTCTGGTTTGATGAAATAAAAATTGAGCCATTTGGCCTCAATTCAAAGCCCCATTTCTGGAGTAAACCAGGCACAGCTCATCACCTGCGCTATACCATCCAAACAGGGAAGCACGGTAGTAGGAGCTTCATGCTTTGGGGGTGTTTTTCAGAAGAAGGGACTGGGAGACTGATTAGGGTACAGGGAAAGTTGAACACTGCAAAATACCTAGGGTTATCCACTAAAGTGCAAATTCAAAGTGAATTCAGAAACAATTAATTATGGTCACAATAGTCAAACTGAAAAAATGATCTATGCTTTCAGTTTGGCTACTCTGGCCTTACATTTGAAATCCATTTTGAATTCTCACTTAAGTGAATAACTCTGACAGAGATATCCTTAATGGAAACCTGGTCCGGAGTACTCAGAATGGGTCAGAGGTTCAACTTTCAACAGGACAATGACGCTAATGCCAAGACAACACAAAAGTGGATTAAGATCTGTGAATGTGAGTGTCTCAGCGAGAGCCTGGACTTGAACCCAATCGAACATCTCTGGAGAGACCTGAAAATCGATGTCCACCAACAGCCCCCATCCAACCTAACAGACAAAACCAAAAAGATATGAGGCTGCATTCACTGCCAAAGGTGCATCAACTAGGTACTGAGTTAAAGGACCACTCTAGGCACCCAGACCACTTCAGCTTAATGAAGTGGTCTGGGTGCCAGGTCCCTCTAGGATTAACCCTTTTTTTTTATAAACATAGCAGTTTCAGAGAAACTGCTATGTTTATAAATGGGTTAATCCAGCATCTAAAGCCTCTAGTGGCTGTCTCATTGACAGCCGCTAGAGGCGTTTGCGTGCTTCTCACTGTGAAAATCACAGTGACAAGACGCCAGCATCCATAGGAAAGCATTATGGATGCTTTCCTATGAGACAGGCTGAATGCGCGCGCAGCTCCTGCCGCGCATGCGCATTCAGCCGAAGAGGAGGATCGGAGGCGGAGAGGAGGAGGTGAGCTAAACGCCAGGCGCTGGAAAAAAGGTACGTTTAACCCCTTTCCTTGCCATGCAGCCCGGCGGGAGGGGGGCCCTGAGGGTGGGGGCAGACTCAGGGCACTATAGTGCCAGGAAAACTAGTATGTTTTCCTGGCACTATAGTGGTCCTATAAGGGTTTGAATACTTAGGTCAGTACGATATATCAGTTTTTCTCTTGTGATGGTGTAAAAAAAAAAAAAAAGTGTTTTTTAATTTGTCCTTTTGGGGTATTGAGTGCAGTATGATGTGAAGAAAAAAAAACAATTATACCATAAGGCAGAAACATTAAAAATATGAAATTATTTTTGTCAATAAATCTAAAACAATTATTCAAACATTTACATTTTAGTGTTAATAAAGTTTGGATGTAAAATGGCAAATGATAGTACAGGGTGTAAGAAAACAAGTAGATAGAGTAGTGTAATATAAAAAATAAACACTAGATGGCAATGAAGGACAACAAATAAATTGCTTGAAAAACACATATGAGCGTTAATTTGATATTTACAAACAGAGGTAGTAATCGGTGATATGTTGCCTCTCCTAAGGAGAGCTGATAAGAAGAAGAGGTGACAGTGGGTACTAGACTGCATTCGTTGCAATCTCCCATAAATGCCAATGACTCGATTCAGCTTATCGATTAATCTAAGAATCCAAACTGAAAGCATAGCGGATTCACAGAACGTTTCAATTTTTGATATTTTGACCTTAAATTTGAAATTCACTTTGAATTCTCACTTTAGAGAATAAACCTGTATTTCTCACGTAGGCCTCAGTTGAATATTGTTGTATAAGTTTTCCAAATGATTTAATATTACGAAAAATATTTACATTTTGTATTATTCAGTGAAATAATTGTTACGATTAGATTTCCTTCTACATGTCCTTTGTATGACGCACTGATTTCTTTTTATTTATATTGTTACATTTAATATTTAAGTTAAAACGTTGACATTTTATTTAGCAAATTATTTAAAAAAATGCTAAACATTTTAATTTTAATAAAATTAATAAACGTTCTTTTTAAAACCAAAATTGTGTCTTCAGTCACTATTTACTAGCGTAAGTTAAAGGGACAAATTGGAAAACATAACAACTTCATCTACATTAAGTGGTTATGGTGCATCATGGTGCTAGAAGGCCCCTGGGACGAATATTACCTGAAGGGTTAAACTGTTCTCGAACGTGTAAAAGTTATCTATTGTAACGAACTGAGTTCCCCATCCATCACCCAGCGCAGCATTCAGCATGTCAGTTTCAGCAAGCACAGAATGTTGCCAGCAGGGTGCCACTGAGTGGTTAAGAGTCAGTTGCAAGTCAGTTTTGTGACAATATTGAGATGAAATTGTTTTAATCCCTGGAACGCCCCCTTAAATAGAACATACCACTACAGAAAATGATTCAGTTAGGAATAATGCACAATTTACATTGAAGCCATAGAGCATCATATATCCTCCAATTTGTGCTGTATTTTAAGTCTACACAAACTCTTTCTTTAAAAAAAACCATGATTTTATTATATACAAATTATAATTTTTATTTATGCAAAACTATGTGGTGTTAAAAAATAGATACAATATATATATAAATATTTAACTATAACAATGAAACTGGAATAACATTTGTCAACAAAAAATTAAATAAAAAAATAAACCTTGAATTATTGATAAAATAATAATCAATGATGCATCTGTGACACACATACCTGCAACAGTGTTCCCAAAAGGGTCACTCCACCTCCTTCGGTAAAACTCTGCAATCTGTAATCAAAATAAAAGTTGTATTTTAGTTCTCCAAATCACGTTTTACTGCAGTCATAACAAGTTTGTATGTTTGTATATTGATGTGATTATACAGTTACTCCGAGTTCTATGGACACTATATCAAGCTGTGCTGGTATTTGATGTCAGGATTACCATGGCGCCATTCCCTGGGTTTGAGAATGAACTTTTTAACAATGCTCCCGTACCTATTTTAAAAACTGGTGATAGGGATAAAAATAACCCAAGAATATGTTTAGGGGAAACCAAATTGTTAAATACAAAACCACCAAATGATACCGCACTCAAGAAAGAAAGTAAATATGAATATAAATTTATTGCTACAACTTAATAACATTGGAAATAGTACTCATCTATCCTGTGTAAAGACACCAAAGGTATGATGATAGTCCTATTCAATGGTTTGCCCACCACTATAAAAGTGTAGAGACAGAGTATACAACACTTAATGTCAGATCACCAAAAAATGTAGTCTACCTATACACAGCTCAAGTACAAGAAAGAAGGTACACTGCTTGATATACCTGTATGATTACAGTGCAACACAGAACAAAATATATACAGCATATATACAAAATATACAATACTGCCTGTCAATGATCTTCTGATAAGAATAGGATACTCTGAGACAAAAAAAGAAGTATACAGATAATGTAACGGGGAAAAAAGAGGGAAAAATGAGGATACCTTGAGAGGATATATTGAGAATAGGAATCCGGGTGTACAGTCACGCGGATATCATATCTCATTAGCCACACAAGGTTTTACCCACATATTGAGTAAAAACTCAATTAGGAAGGTTAAAATAATCAATATCTTTATTGTATATGTTAGACTAAACAAAAAAAACGTGAAGACAAAATAAAAAAGTGTAAACAAACTGTGCCAGTGACTTAAAAAGAAAGCCCCATATCTTGTAGATAACTATTGTAGAGTAGAGATGAGCGGACACCTGGATGTTCGGGTTCTCTGGGTTCGGCCGAACTTCGGCAAAAGGGCTAGAGGGCTGCAAAAGGAAGTAAAATAGGGGTTAGAGTAGGACAAGTGACCTGCAAACAAATGTGGATAGGGAAATAACTTAAAATAACATAAAATACATAAAAATTTAAAATAATAATCTTGAACTAGGAGGCGGTGACCGTGGTGGTGTAGGTGGAAGTGGCGGTGGAGGAGGAGGAGGTAGCCAACACTGTTTTTTATTTTTTATTAATTTTTCTTTTTTTAATTGGGGTAGCCCCCAAAATATTGGGACATATAAAAAATGAAAACAAAGAATAAGTGCACTTGAGTATAACAATGGTTGGGTGAGGCCGGTATAAATGTCTATTCTGCACAAGGTACAGACAAGTCTGATGGGATCCATGCCTGGTTCATTTTAATAAACGTGAGCTTGTCCATGTTGGCTGTGGACAGGCGGCTGCGCTTGTCTGTGATAACGCCCCCTGCCGTGCTAAACACACGTTCATACAATACACTGGCTGCAGGGCAGGCCAGCACCTCCAAGGCATAAAGGGCAAGCTCAGGCCATGTGCCCAATTTGGAGACCCAGAAGTTTAATTGAGCCGACCCATCAGTCAGTACGTGTAGGCATGCGCACATGTACTGTTCCACCATGTTGCTGAAATGCTACCTGCTGCTAAGACGTTCCATATCAGCTGGTGGTGCTGGTTGTTGTGGCGTGCTGACAAAGCTTTTCCACATTTCGGCCATGCTAACCCTGCCTTCTGAGGTGCTGGCGGTGCCCCAGCTGTGTTGGCGACCTCTTCCTCCTCCTCTGCCTTCGCCTTGTGCTTCCACTGAGCCCCCGGTGTCAGTTGGGAATGCCCTCAGCAGTGCGTCTACCAGCGTGCGCTCCAGTGAGGGAATTAAGGACAGCACGTTGACCTTGTAACGGAGATCCAGCAGGGTGGCCATCCAGTAATCAGCACCAGTTAGAATGTGGGAAACTCGGCAGTTGTTGCGCAGGCACTGCAGCATGTAGTCGCTCATGTGTGCCAGGCTGCCCAGAGGCAAGGACAAGCTGTCCTCTGTGGGAGGTGTATCGTCTGTGTCCTCCGTATCCAGCCACACTCCAGTGATGCCCACGAGCTGTGTTGGGTGCCACCCTGCTGTGAACACGGTTCCTCCTCATCCTCCAGAACTGTGCCCTGACTGAACAATTGTGTACCTGGCCTATGCTGGTGCAGGAACCCACCCTCCGAGCCACTTGTGAATGACTGACCTGATAACTGTGGAAACTGTGACCTGATAACTTCCTTCCGAAGCGTTTTTTCAAGGAGACATAGAAGCGGGATAGTAAGGCTAAGAAAGGCGTCATCGGCACTGGCCATGTTGGTGGAGTCCTCGAAACAGCGCAACATGGCACACAGGTCTCGCATGGAGGCCCACTCATTGGTGGTGAAGTGGTGCTGTTCCGCACAGCGACTGACCCGTGCGTGCTGCAGCAGTCTCTCTAGCATGTGCAAGGTGGAGTTCCACCTTGTGGGCACGTCGCATATGAGGCGGTGAGCGGGAAGACCGAAGTTACACTGCAGTGCACACAGGCGAGCAGCAGCAGGGTGAGAATACAGAAAGCGTGCACAGATGGCCCGCACTTTCTGCAGCAGCTCTGATATATTTTGGGTAGTTTTTCAGGAATTTCTGCACCACCAAATTCAGCACATGCGCCATGCAAGGAATGTGCGGCAAACCCAGTGTTCTATCATTGTGCTATACCCCGTCAGATTTCTATACCTCCGTCACTTCCGGTGAGGGGAATCAGCTGGCTCCTGTGCTGCACATGCGTGCTAGCACTCCTGCTACTCCTCCACAGCAAGGTCCTGGAAGGTAAGTAAAACTAGTTTTACACTTTCATT